AAAACGTAGTCCCTCCCAAAAATCCAATTTCTCAACTGCAAACAGTCTCCAAAACCAACACCATCTCTCACTTAGTGATAAAACACCTGGGGTAAAAAAAAAACAGTTTTTAAAAAATCAAAGGACAGAATCTACTCACCCGTGAACGAGGTTCGTGTTGCGGAATCTGTTCGGAAAATGAGGCAAAGTCAGCAAAAAGCAAATTCACAATGCAGAGAAATTAAAGTCCCATTCTCCAAACATTTGTTTTCCCCAAGGGACAGATCCTGGTCTGTGCCCGTGCTGGGAAATAAGGGCAGTTTGCAGACTTTGGCTCTGTTTCCTGTTCCAATACCCACGGAGGCTTCAGAGACTGGGCTAGAAGTTCACGTTGGTCTTACACTAGGATCCCCTCAGAACAGAGGTTAGGAGTGGACCTGTCCCCATGTCAAAGTAAACTCCATATACACACAAGTACTCCGTGGATATTTTGGTCTTAAAGCAGAAGGCAGGAACCCCGAAGGCTATTAAACTGGCCTGCAGCCGCACATCGTCTTAATTGTCTTAATTTGTCTTAATTTTTTTTAACATGTATATGCTATTAAAATAACGCTGGAGTATGCCAACTTGAAAACTTTTCATGTATTTTTTAACAAAAAATACAAGAGACCATAAATTACTTCTCTACTATTCCATTCTAAACTTCACCCTCCTGTTTTCCTGTCCCATTCTCTGGTGTGTCTATCTGTGTTATAGGCATGAACCTAGATCGCATTGATTGGACCTGAAACAGTCTTGCCTGGCCTGTCATTTCAGATTTGTCACTCTTTTTCAGAGCTGGAGAAGGAGGTTGACAAGAAAATTAGACCCACAGTTTCCAATAGCGGGTGCAGGGAAGTGCAACTGGATGGCAACCAGCAATAATTGATGCTTATCCCCATTTGTGCCACACTGTTATTTTACAGGCATTGAGACTAACCCCCAGCATAGATTCCGGTGAGATCAGACAACACAGCATGCATCCAAGTCAAACCTGGTCTATATGGCTCACTATCCAACACAGTGCATTTCGACCTCTGTTACTGTTGGAGTCAGAGTTATTAGGAGCTGTTGCTAACACTGCTTCCTGTGCATTGTTGTTTTCTATGTAAAAGCCATTAGTTATGAGTAGGTAACAGTATTCTGGAACTTTTATAAGTGGCACAGAGCCATTGAGTCAGGATGTTTTGTCCAAATGGAATATCTCCAGATAATTTATTACTGTCAGTGGTTAACTACACACTTGGCCGTTGAGAGTGTACCAGTAAAAGGACAGACCGTACATTTCTGCCTGAAACATATTATCGTTAATTGTTCTGGGATGTCCCTGAATATATAGCAGTAGCCTCAGCAGAAATTTGTTATATTCCCTTGTTGCATGTTTAAATCAAGCTCTGGCAGTGTTATATTTTCAATTGTTGCACAGTACAACTAGTCAAAACAAACTTGCTCAGATTCTGTGCATCTAAATTGTAGCCTAGAATTTGTGAGAAGGGTGCTATTCCATTTGGTAGTGTTTTTATGTTGTAAAACTAAGCTGACAATTGCTAGAAATGTGAGTTAATAAACAATGCGGTGAAGACAAAGGAGAACCTGAAACTTTGGTGAATGACAAGACCAATTTCATCAAATAATGAGATTTAAGGATTAAGAAACAAAGGAATGATGGAAAATGAAATGGGGTACATTATAATCAAATATGGTAGAAATTATGAGGTGAAACAACGTCTTGATTATAAAAGTGAAGACACAAAGTAACAAATAAGAAACAACTTTAAAGTAAAATAAGAATAAATTACTGCTTGAAGGAATGGGACTCCTTCATATTAAATATTCATTTTTTGGGCGAGATGGGTTGAATGATATTTTAGGAACATGAATTTCACCGTCAGCCTGTCCTTAGACTATCAAATACCTGATAGTCTGCGGCAAGTTTAACATGTACTTACTGAACAAATGCTGCCAGTTTGCTGAAATTCACATGGTGGTTAGTCATTAAATGGTATTTTTGCAAATTAATGGCGAAGTGGCACAAATTATTCGTAAATTTTTTGCAACTCTCAACTCCTGGGGGAGCCCAACTCAACTCTCCCCTGCCATGAATTTATGGGCTATTTGGATTTTAGTTACAGAAAATATTTAGAACTTGCTGAAGTTTTGCCTGCAACTTTCAAATCATTAATACAAAGGAGATGAATTTTATGATCTGTATATATTACTAACTGATTATAAAGAAACTTTGTTTAATTTTTTCAGGGATATAGGTTGGCTGGCTATGATGCACAAAGACTCTTTATATATTTGGCTATATTTTAGGCTTTTCTACAAGTTGATTATGCTGGTGAGTTCAATGGAGTTAACTAGAACTGTGGACTCAACTTTATGCCTACCCTGCACTTGTTTCATGTACATGGAGCAGGCAGGTTAAAATGAGAATCTTGAACTTATAAAATGATAATTATCTGGCTATAGGAGGAAAGCTGATTAATATTGGTCAGGTAAATAGACTAAAAGGTATGGTAGCGAAATAAACAGTGGGAAATATTTTCAGTAAAAAGTCAAAATATTCAACAAAAATACTTTCCATTAAAAAAACAGAACATAGCAGGAAAGATCCATCTGCAGCTTACTAAGCAGGTTAAGGATGGTATTAGATTAAAAGTAGAAGCTTATTAGTGTTGTAACCAATAGTAGTAAGTGTGAGAATTTTAAGCTGGAGAGGATTCAGAGGAGACTTACCAGGATGTTACCGGGTATGGAAGGTTTGAGTTATACAAAAAGGCTGGTTAGGCTGGGACTTACTTTACTGAAGTGTAGAAGGTTGAAAGGAGATCTTATAGGAGTTTATAAAATCATGAGGGATATAGTTGCGCCAATAGTAATTGTCTTTTCCCTAAGATGGAGGAATTTCAAGAATAGGGGTTACATTTTTAAAGTGAGAGGAGAGAGATTTAAAAAAGACATGGGGGTAATTTTTTTTACACAGAAGGTGATTCATCTGTGAAATGAACTTCCTGAGAAAGTGGTGGTTGATTACAACATTTAAAAGACATTTAGATAAGTACATGAAGAGGAAAGGTTTGGAGGGATATGGACCAGGAGCAGGCAGGTGGGACTAGTTTAGTTTGGGAGTATGTTTGGCATGGACAGGTTGGACCGAAGGGTCTGTTTCCATGCTATATGTCTCCATGACTCTATAAACAGTGAGGCAACACTCGCTAGTAAGAAAGAAGAGATTTATTGACATCTATTAAATTGCCTGTTATTTATTTATTCAAACGGGGGACATGGGAATCCCTGGCTGACCAACATTTATTACCCATGCCTGGTTGCCCTTGAGGTGATGTTGAGCTGCCTTTTGGAGCCACTGTGGTCCATGCGCTGTAGATAGACCCACAATGCCATCAGAGACAGGATTCAGGATCAAAATCCAGAAACAGTGAAGAAACGACGATGTATTTCCACATCAGGATGGTAAATGCCTTGGAGGGAATCTTGCAGGTGGTGGTGTTCTCACATATCTGCTGCCCTTGTCCTTCTGGATGGGAATGGTCGTAGGTTTGAAAGGTGCTGTCTGAGGATATTTGATGAATTTCTGCAGTGATTCTTGTAGATGGTACATACTGCTGCTGCTGAGTGTTGGTGGTGTACACACTGGCTGATTGTGGATGTGTTGCCAATGCTTTTTCTAGGATGGTGTCAAGCTTTTTGAGTATTGTTGGAGTGACATTCAACCAGTCCGGGTATTTCATCACATTCCTGACTAGTGCCATGTGGATGGTGGACAGGCTTTATGGAGTCAGGAAGTGAGTAAATTCTAGCAATATTCTGAGTGTATCATCTGCATCTCAGGGTCCTTCTCGGTCTCAAAGTGCTCACTCACTTTGCATCTACTTCAATGCTCACAATGTCTTTGCCTTGCTTTGCTTTTTTGTGCTCTGTCCTCTGAGCTAGACATAAATTCTTACAGTATTTCTATCTAACCTTGCTGTTTAGCACAGTCTCAAAGTCAGGCTGTGGATGCCAAGCCACCAAATATGTTTGGGAAACAGAGAAATGCATTTTTAGATTTCAAAGGCATTAGGGATTGAGAAGATAATATGGGTATGTAGCATCGAGATCAAGGATTAGCTATGATCAGATTGAAAGTTGCAGCAGTTCAAAGGGCCGACTGCCCTATTGCTGCTCCTCGTTTCTGTGCTTCAATCCCCCAGCCTCAAACACCCAGCGGTATGAAGCTGATCAGGTTATAATTTGGTGTCTAAAGATTTGTTGTTCCATCTTTAAAACACAAACACAGAAGATCACAAGAACTAGCAGGAATAGCCATTCAGCCCATCAAATGTGCTCCCCTATTGAATTAAATCATGGCTGATTTGCCTATGGTTGCAACTCTCCTTTTCTGTCTGCTCCTTCAATCCTGTTGATCCAATCCCTTAAATGTGTTGTTAACAAAACATTAACATCAGTCAACAAATAGTGAGTCTTAATGCTAAAAATCAACCACATTTCTTGATGGAGCTAACATTGGCAATGAGAATATGTCTCCAATGGCAATGCAGCTGACAAAATATAACATTATGAAATGAAAAAGAGTGGGGGCAACGTTGCAACCTGCTGGTCAAATATCGAGAGACAAAATCAATAACCTTTTGGAAAGCATCAGACTAGCTTTAGTAAAACAGAGTCACACAAGACAGAATTTAATTTATAGCCTGCCTTTCATGACATCAGGGTGTACCAAAGATCTTTCCAGTGTACGTTTTGCTACTGTCGTAATGTAGAAAAACATGCTGTAGTTTGTGCAATTTAACAGCCATGTTCTTTTTTAAAATTGTCTACAGGATGTGACTGTCATTGGCCAGGCTTATATTGATTGCCGATCTCTAATTCTGGCTCATCATCATCTTCACAAGGGATGGTTTACAAATGCTGATGCTCCCTTTAAATGAAGAAATTTTAAAAAGGCAACCAATTAGCACACAGTAAGATTCAAAAAGAACAACAATACAATTAACAGTTCTTTTATTTCACTGATTGATTCAAGAATAAAAATTGACCAGGGAACGGGGGAACACCTCAATGAGCAGTTGGTCTCTTTAATATCATTTGTGCCCAACTGAAAGTGAAAACAGGACCTCAGTTTAATTTCTCATCTGAAAGGAAACCCCTCTGACAGTGCAATATTTTCTTAGTGATCTTACATATAAGTTCAAATTGCTCAAGAACATCATGAAATTACAGCCTTTTAGCTCAGAGGCAAAAGAATGACCCATGGAGCACAGCTAAATAGATTTGAATTGGAAGATGCAAATTCATTCAATGATGTACAGAACATCAAACTTAATCCTATGCAATTGTAAAGGCATTTCTTTCAGAGTGAAATTCTGATGAAGATTCATCCTATTTATAATTGCTTCAAAGTTTAGGTTCCAAAACGTGGAAGATCAATGTATAGCTTTAAATTATAGACTTATTTTGTGTGTTCAGAAGAATAAGACATGTTTTTTAATTTAATTATATATTTTCTCCCTGGACATTTGTTTACGTTCATTTTAAAGCAGTGTTTAAAACGACTGGAGTGAACAGTTCAGTGCATCAGAAAATAAGGCAGAAGAGAGAATAAACTGCTGCTGCCTGACAACAGGAGTCCAGTAATATAAAGTTAGAACAATTCCGCAGATGTCAGGCAGTTTGCAGATTCAGACAGAAAAGGTCCGTAACAGCAGATGTGCTGTGAGTCAGTCTCTAAAACAGTCACGGCAGGGCTGAGGAGAGGTCCTGTGTTGCTGAGAATAAAACCCTAGTGAAGATATCAGAGAAGAAGACATCCTGCAAAGCTACTGGAGACATGTTTTAATGGACCAATGTCAGGTTGTCAGTGAGCTGAGTTGTCAGCAAGGTTAAGGACTTGTTTAAGGAAGAGACACTGACCGAAGAATGTGAATGCAGAACTTAACCAAAAAGGAAGTGATTAAAGTCATACGGCCTGAACAGAGAGCTTTAACTTGGGGACAGGAAAAACCCTTCACTGAGGTTGTATTGTAAGGTTGGAGTCAGGTAAAATATTTGAAACTTTATTTCCCATATTTGTGATAGGACAGTTTTAAATAGTTCTGCACAGTAAAACATGATTGGTATTTTTCTCTTGTGTCAATTAAACGTTAATGTCTTTTGTTAAAAGTACAATGACAGCCTCTTGTGAATACATTCAGACTCTGACCAGTATAGTAAACAAAATGAAAATAAATCATTCAAGCTAAGTCTTACTTGTGGATCTGACTGATCCAGTGTTAATAAGAGTTTGGATCAGAACAAACTTAATGGTTCAAAATAAAAAATCACGTTTGAGTTGTACAGTACATTCGGTAATATAGCTGTACATGGCTTTAACATATTTACAACACAGGAGATTATTTCATACATTGTATCTGCTGCTGGAGTTTCAATTGCATAACACTTGAATTTTTTGGAAGAGAAAATCCTGCAGAATCCAGTTAAAGCATTTCCACTGGTTGTAATGGGAAAATCTGTTTCACTCAACATTCCATTAAAATTGTGTATTTCAGGAATGCAGCAACAATGTTAAACGAGGACATATTGTACACCAAATTCCAATCAAAAGGCTATCTCGGGCTGCATTGGACAATACGTGGGCGTTCTCTGAATTTTCTCTGACATCCCAGCCTTGATAAAAGCCTTTCGCCTGGACTGTTAAGCGCTGAGAGGTTTTTTAATTCATTCCTGAGATGTAGACATTGGTGGTTGACCAGCATTGTATTGCCTGTCGCTTGTTGCCCTTGAGTAGAAGGTGGTGAGCTGCCTTCTTGAACCGCTCCAGTTCACATTCTCTAGGTTGACCCACAATGCTGTTTGAAGGGAATTCCAGGATTTTGATCCAGTGACAGCGAAGGAATAGAGATATATTTCCAAATCAGGATGGAGAGTGGATTGGAGAGGAACTTGCAGCTGGCGCTGTTCCCATCTACTGGCATCAAATATACAGAAAGGAATGGAAATAATCCAAGTTCCCTGCCAGGCAATGGAACTCTCACCTGACACAGTAAGTTGCAGGAGATGGAGAAATTTTTAATTAGTTGTGGGTTAACGGGTATGGCGAGCATGCAGGAAAATAGAGTTGATGCAGAGATGAGATCATGTTTTAATTATCGAGAATGGCAGAGCAGGTTCGAGGGGCTAAATTACCTACTTCTACTCTTCATTCTGATAAAATTTAGGATTCCACCTACAAACAATTGAGAGACAATCTTAGATCCAAATATCTGAAGTGAATTCTTTGCAAGAGCTGGTTTTGTTGGTGCGATTGTCCACTTTTCATTTGATTTCTAACAAGTTTCACACTTGGTTAATGGAGTTTAATTTAGACAAATGTGAGGAGGTTCATTTTGCAAGGCAAATCAGGGCAGGACACGTACACTTAATGGTAGGCCCCTGGGGAGAGTTAAAGAACAAAGAGACCTAGGTGTGCAGATGCATAGTTCCTTGAATGTGGAGTCACAGCTAGACAAAGTGGTGAAGAAGACACTTCACATGCCTGCCTTCATTGGTCAGTGCATTGAGTGTCGGAGTTGAGATGTCATGCTGTAGTAGTGCAGGACATTAGTTAGACCACTTTTAGAATACAGCATTCAATTCTGGTCTCCCCGCCATAGGAAAGGTGTTGTAAAGCTTCAAAGAGTTCAGAAAAGATGTGCAAGTATGTTGTTGGGATTGGAGGGTTTGAGCTACAGGGAGATGCTGAATAGGCTGGGGCTATTTTTCCCTGGAGCATTGGAGACTGAGGGGTGACCTTACAGAGGTTTTTACAATCACGAGGGGCATGAATTGGTTGAATAGCCGAGGTCTTTTACCCAGGCTAGGAGAGTCCATAGCTAGAGGGCATAGGTTTAAGGTGAAAGGGGAAAGATCTCAAAAGGTCCTGATGGACAACTTTTTCACAAAGGGGCTGGTGTGTGTCTGGAATGAGCTGCCAGAGGTGGTGGTGGAGATGGGTACAATTATAACGTTTAAAAGGCAATTGGATGGTTACACAAATAGGAAGGGTTTAAAGGGATACAGGTCAAATGCTGGCAAATGGGACGAGATCAGTTTAGGATATCTAGTCAGCATAGTCCAGGTGGACCAACAGGTCTGTTTCCGTGCTGTACACTGACTGTATTTGTGCTTGCTTGATGCCTGGGTTCAGGATCTCTCATCTGGGCTGCGGAGGGCATTGACACCAATCCTGGGGAAGGAGAGAGCTGTTCCAAGAGGACAGGCTCCATCTGAATCATGCTGGGACCAGAGACATGGGAAATGCATAATCAGGGCTGTGGATAGGCCCTTAAACTAAATAGTGGCAGGAGGGAGGTGGTGGTGTTCAATGCACAGAAAAATATTGAAAATATTAAGTTGGGGGAGGACTCAGCAGAGATTTATTTTATTCATTTGTGGGATGTACGTATCACTGCATGACCAGCATTTATTGCCTGTCCCTAGTTGCCTTGAGAAGGTAGTGGTGAGCTGCCTTCTTTACCTGTTGCAGTCCATCTGCTGTGGGTTGACCCACAATGCCATTAGGGAGAGAATTCCAGGATTTTGACGCAGCAACACTGAAGGAACGGTGATATATTTCCGTGTCAGGATGATGAGTGGCTTGGAGGGGGAACATAAAGGTGGTGGTGGTCCCAAGTATCTGCTGCCCTTATCCTTCTACATTGAAGTGGTTGTGGGTTTGGAACGTGCTGTCTGAGGATCTTTGGTGAATTCCTGCAGCGCATCTTGTCAATATTGCACATCCCTGCTATTGAGTGCTGGTGGTTGAGGAAGTTGACGCTTGTAGATGCAATCCAAATCAAGCGAGCTGCTTTGTCCTGGATGGTGTCAAGCTTCTTGAGTGTTGTTGGAGCTGCATTCATCCAGGCAAGTGGGGAGTATTCCATCACACTCCTGACATATGCTGTACAGATGGTGGGCAGGTACTGGAGGAGTCAGGAAGTGAGTTACTTGCCGCAGTATTCCTCGCCTCTGACTTTCTCTTATAGCCACTGTGTTTGTGAAAAGTCCAGTTGAGTTTCTGGTCAATGATAATCCCCAGGATGTTTATAGTGGGGGATTCAGTGATGGTAACACCATTGAATATCAAGGGTTGCTGGTTAAATTGTCCATTATTGGTGATGGTTATAGCTGGCAATTGTGTGGCATGAATATGACTTGACACTTGTCAGCCCAAGCCTGGATATTGTCCAGATCTTGTTGCATCTAAACATGGGCTGCTTCAGTATCTGAGGAGTCAAGTATGCTGCTGAACATTGTGCAATCATCAGCGAACATCCCCACTTTGAACCTTATGATGGAGGGAATGTCATTGATGAAGCAGGTGAAAATAGTTGGGCCTAGGACAATACCCTGAGGATCTCCTGCAGAGATGTCCTGGAGCTGAGATGACTGACCTCCAACAACCACAACCATCTTTCTATCTCTCAGGTATGACTCTAACCAGCGATGAGCGTGTCCCCCTGATTCCAGTGTACTCATTTTGCCAAGGCTCCTTGATGCCACACTTGGTTGTATGCAGCCTTGATGTCAAGGGCCCTTGCTCTCATCTCACTTCTGAAATTCAGCTCTTTTGTCCATGTTTGAACCAAAGCCATAATGGGGTCAGGAGCTGAGTGGCAGAACCCACACCGAGCATCACTGAGCAGTTATTGCTGAGTGGGTGCTGCTTGATGACACTGCTGATAACACCTTCCATCACTTTACTAATTACCGAGAGTGCAGTAATTGGGTGGGAATTGGTTGGTTTGGATTTGTCCTGCTTTTCATGTACAGGACATACTGGGCAACTTCTCACGTTGTTGCATAGCTGCCAGTGTTGAAACTATACTGGAAGAGGTTGGCTCGGGGAGCAGCAAGTTCTGTAGCACAAGTTTTCAATACTGCTGCCAGAATGTTGTCAGAGCCTTTAGCATTTACAGTATCCATTGCCTCCAACTGTTTCATGATATCATATGGAAAGAATCGATTTGGATAAAGACTGGTATCGGTGATGCTTAGGACCACTGGCGGAGGCCGAGATGGATCATCCACTCGGTATTTCAGGCTGAAGATTTCTATAAATGCTTCAGCCTTACCTTTTGCACTGATGTGCTGGGCTTTTCCAACATTGAGAATGGGGATATTTGTGAAGTGTCTTGCTCCAGCGAGTTCTTTAATTGTCCGCCACCATTAAAGTTTCCACAACAACAAATAGAGGATAAAGTATGATAAGGGTCAGGAATGTAATTTCAGCCACACCAGATAAGGAAACAATTATAAGAAGAGGGAGCAGTCAAAACAGGACTGAGGGTGTCGTACATAGAGGCACACAGTAAACAAAGGTTCCAGAGCTGAGGTGAGAGTGAAAGCAAGAGCCCTTGACATCAAGTCTGCATTCGACCGAGTGTGGCATCAAGGAGCCCTAGCAAAACTGCAATCAATGGACATCAGGGGATAAACTCTCCGGTGGTAGGAGTCATGCCTGACACATAGGAAGATGGTCGTGGTCGTTGGAGGTTAATCATCTCAGCTCCAGGACATCTCTGCAGGAGTTGCTCAGGGTAGTGTCCTTGGCCCAACCATCTTCAGTTGCTTCATCAATGACCTTCCCTCCATTACACGTTTGCCGATGATATCACAATGTTTAGCACCATTCGCGACTTCTCAGATACTGAAGCAGTTCAAATGCAACAAGATCTGGACAATATCCAGGCTTGGGCTGACAAGTGGCAAGTGACATTTGCACCACACAAATGCCAGGCTATGATCATCACCAACAAGAAACAATCTAACCACCACCCCTTGAGATTCAATAGTGATACCATCACTGAATCTCCCACTCTCAACATCCTGGGGGTTACCATTGATCAGAAGCTCAACTGGACTCACCACATACACACAGTGGCTACAAAAGCAGGTAAGAAGTTAGGAATACTGTGGCGAATAACTCACCTCCTGACTCCTCAAAGCCTGTCCACCATTGACAAGGCACAAGTCAGGAGTGTGATGGAATGCTCCCCACTTGCCTGGATGAGTTCAGCCCTAATAACACTCAAGAAGCTTGCACCATCCAGGACAAAGCAGCCCACTTGATTGGCATTACATCCACAAGCATTCATTCCCTCCATCACCGACGCTCAGTAGCAGCATTGTGTACTATCTACAAGATGCACTGTAGAAATTCACCAAAGATCCTCAGACAGCACCTTCCAAATTCACGACCACTTCCATCTAGAAGGATAAGGGCAGCAGAACATATGGGAACACCACCACCTTCAAGTTCCCCTCCAAACCACTCACCATCCTGACTTGGAAATATATTGCCATTACTTCACTGTCGCTGGATCAAAATCCTGGAATTCCCTCTCTATTGGCATTGTGAGTCAACCCACAGCAGGTGGACTGCAGGGGTTCAAGAAGGCAGCTCACAAGCATTTTCTCAAGGGCAACTAGGGATTGGCAATAAATTCACAGACATGCCTGCAAGGGGCCTCAGGGCTGAAAACTAAGTATTCAAGGATACACATCCTATCGAAAGGACAGGCACATGGGCAGAGGGGCAGGGATGCCTTGTCAGTAAGGAATGAAATTAACTTGATAACAAGAATTGATTTAGTATTGGAAGGTGTAGAATATGTGTGGTGGAATTCAGAAACCGCAAAGGGAAAAATACCCTGACGGGAGTTAAGTACAGGCCTCCAAGCAAGAGTCAGGATGTGGGGCATCTAAGAAAGGCACTACTACAATAATCTTGGGAAACTTCAATATGCAGATGGACTGGGAAAATCAGGTTGTTAGCAGATACCCAAAAAAGTAATTTGTGGAATGTTTACGAGATCATTTTTTGGAGCAGCTTGTGGTAGAACCCACAAGGGACCAGGCCTAAACTCTCCCATGTCCCAGCCCCCTACCCCACACACCAGGCCTTTTTTTTATGTATATATTTTTGACAGAGACAGAGGAGGAGCAGGGAGCAAACGGTATAAAGGCCCAGTGCAAAAAACAAACGGATTGGTAATGGGGGTGAAAGAGAAAAAGAGTTTTAAAATGGGTGTAAATTAAAGAGTGAAAGGGAGAGAATGGTTCCTCTCCATACATGCTAGCAGACCTGCTCAGTTCCTCTAGCTTTTCTTTGTGTGTTTCCAAGTTCCGGCATCTGTAGCGACTTGCTCTAAATTGAAGTTGAACATGTTCCACCAGGTTCCTGCACTTTTCGTTCATGTGTTGATTACATTCCTATTACACAGATACTGTATCTTTAGTTTCACACAATAGACTATCAACAGTCTCATTATGCTGATCGTTTGCCTGAAGTGGAATCAAACCCACATCCCTGGCACTTTGAGGCAGCAGTGTTAATCATTGAGCCACTGTGCCACTCATGTATGAACCTGCAATGCTTCACTACATTTCAAGAACAACTAAACGCAAAGACATTGGTGTGACGCACTCGTGATATCTTAAAACTGCGACAGTACATTTTTAATAATTTTATCAACTTCCATCAATTCCCATGTCTGTGTTTGGATAACTCATCTCACTTTTGCAAGCCAGACCAGGTTTTGACAGTCTTAAGAAACTGGATTCCCAATCTCGATTGCTTGCTCCCCTGATTAAAACCTGTGTGCAGAGATATTTGATTGGATTGTGTTTTGACCATAGCTCATTCTTTTGCAGCCCCACAACTTAACACACTGCAAACATATTAAAATAATGGAAGGGAATTGCGTTCTGCTGCATTTCTTATATTTTACAGTCTCTTGGCCAGTGAGGGAAAATTCTTATGTTAGATAACTTAAAAATTAATAAGATGCGTTACCTGCAGAGAAGGGCATGAAGGCTTCTCTCCTCACAAACTTGACCTCAGCATTCAGAAAGTGAGATGGGTTGAACTCATTTGGTTTCTCCCATTGTGTTTTATCATAAAGCACGGAGGTCAGCAATGGAATTACTTGGGTTCCCTAAAATATTGAAAATATAATTGGTGTATGATTCTCTATTTAAGTATGGACTATCATGAAAACTAGCCTTCTTTCCATTGACTCCATCTACATTTCCTGCTGCCTCTGGAAAGCAGCCAACATAACCAAAGACCTTTCGTGCATCAGTTATATTTTCTTCCACCATCTTCCATCTGGCAGAAGTTACAAATTTTGAAAACATGTAACAATAGATTGAAGAACAGCTTCTTTCCCGCTGTTATCAGATTTATGAGTGGACCAGAGTGAATCTATCTCTGCACATTCTCTACAGTTGTAACACCATAGTCTGCGTTCTGTTCTATTCCTCTGATGTACTTATGAAAGGTATGATTTGTCTGGTTAGCTCACAAAACAAAACTTTTCACTGTATCTCAGTACATGTGACAATAATAAATTAAATTAAACCAAATCAAAAGACATTACTGACATTACTTGCACAGTCGTTAAATAATAACCATACCAGTAAGTTAAACACAGCATTCATTTAAATTCAGATTCCGGCATCTTGAGCATCTTTAATCGCTTCACTGTGCTTTCAGCTGCCTGGATTCTAAGCTCTGCAATTCCCTTCATAATCTTCTCAACCTGTCTCTTTGTCATCCCTCCTTCATGATGGTTAGTTATGGTACATTTTCTTCTGAATCATTGAGTTCTGGATTGAAATTCCACCCGAGGACTCAAACGTAAAAGTCACAACTTCTGGCCCTCCACTGCAGACATGCTGCAAAGCCAGAGCAATTGTCTTTGAGAAGACACTGTTTTGACAAGGAGGATAGCAATTATCCCCAGTGTTCTGGTCAATATTAATCCTTAAGTCTATCACAAAGAAGGGTTCATCTTCTAATTATGATATTGCTTTTTTTTGGGATGTTGCTAAGTGTCTACTGGCTACTGGATTTCTTACATTACAATGGAGACTGCTGTAGATTCAAGAGTACTTCATTGGCTGTGAGCTGCTCTGAGGAGTTTTGTGGTTGCAGAGAGTATGATATAAATGTGAGCCTTCCCCTGAAGTTTACCTCTTTCACCATGTCTTCATTACTTTTCATATCACCTCCCTATATGGTTCGGTGCCATTATTTCTCTGGTATCAAGCCTGGGTACATTCTTAGGACAGTCTATCATCTTCAAGGTACTAAGCAAATACAAGTTGTTGTTGTTGTTAAGGAAAATCACTTTGATTTAATCTCCCTTCTTCTCTGTTCTTTCTATTGTCTTACAGTGAAAGCTAACAGAATGATGCATAAAAAGAGGAGACATTTTGCTCACTGTTTTTGTGCCACACAAATGCACAAATTAGGAATGGGGAACCAATCAGCCCCTTAAGCCTGCTCTGCTATTTTATAGAAAAGAGCTGTCCAATCATTCCCACTCTCCTCTCTCTGTTAGTAACTTAACAGCAATTTGCAATTTTAATAATGAAATGCCGCAAAGGTTTTCATCATAGCCCTACTAGTCATGGCCCATAGCCTTGTAGGCATTGGCATTGCAAGTGTACAGCTAAAGATTCCTAAAATGTTATGAGGGTTTCTGCCTCTATCACCTTTACGGGGCAATGAATTCCAAAATCCCACCAACTACCCTCTGAGTTAAGAAAAAAATCCTCATATCCCTCCAAACCTCTGAATAGAGAAGTTAGTGACAGCTAGTTACTTAGGTGTCAGAATGCACAGAATTGCAGAATGCACTAAATGTAACCATGAGAGCTTTTCTCTCTCTTAGACATCCTTCATTAAATGTCAGAATATCAGACTCTGATTGTAGCCGTCCTTTCCCGAGGGTACCTTTGGAATGAAGTATCCTCTGAAATTTACATCCACTGTCGTTTCATGTGTTATGCTCATTGGTACAATGTCACCAAATCTCTGGATCTCATGGATCACTGCATCAGTGTAAGGCAAATCTTTCCGATCGTCAATTCTGGGAGGTCGTTCCGATCCAATAACTCTGATAATTTCCTCATGAACCTTTTCTGCAAACCAAACACATTTTTAAAGTCATTGGAAGTACTGTCATGATATTTTCGAATAAGTTCAAAATCTCAATACTTACAAATGGAGAATATGAGACGTTGAAAATCATACAACAAGGTCAGCTCCAGAGTGGAATTAATAAGAGTGCTTCTTACTCTGGATTTCTGGATATTTCATCATCAGAAGCATTCCCCAATGAAGTGCAGGGCTGGATGAACACAGCAGGCCAAGCAGCATCATAGGAGCAGAAAGGCTGACGTTTCGGGCCGAGACCCTTCATCAGAAAAGGGGGAGGGGAAGGGGGTTCTGAAATAAATAGGGAGAGAGTGGGAGGCGGATAGAAGATGGATAGAGGAGAGGATAGGGAGAGGAAACAAACAGGTCGAAGAGGCGGGGATGGAGCCAGTAAAGGTGAGTGTAGGTGGGGAGTTAGGGAGGGGATAGGTCAGTCCAGGGAGGACGGACAGGTCAAGGGGGTGGGATGAAGTTAGTCGGTAGGAGATGGGGGTGCGGCTTGAGGTGGGAGGAGGGGACAGGTGGGAGGAAGAACAGGTTAGGGAGGCAGGGACGAGCTGGACTGGTTTTGGGATGCGGTAGAGGGAGGGGAGATTTTGAAGCTTGTGAAGTCCACATTGATACCACTGGGCTGCAGGCTTCCCAAGCGGAATATGAGTTGCTGTTCCTGCAACCTTCGGGTAGCATCGTTGTGGCACTGCAGGAGGCCCAGGATGGACATGTCGTCTGAGGAGTGGGAGGGGGAGTTGAAATGGTTCGCGACTGGGAGGTGTAGTTGTTTGTTGCGAACTGAGTGTAGGTGTTCTGCAAAGAGAATGGTCCCTCCGTGACTCCCTTGTCCGCTCCACACTCCCCTCCAGCCCCACCACACCCGGCACTTTTCCCTGCAACCGCAGGAAGTGCTACGCCTGCCCCTACACCTCCCCCTCACCCCCATCCCAGGCCCCAAGAAGACTTTCCACATTAAGCAGATGTTCACCTGCACATCTGCTAATGTGGTATACTGCATCCGCTGTTCCCGTTGTGGCCTCCTCTACATCGGGGAAACCAAGCGGAGGCTTGGGGACCGCTTTGCAGAACACCTACGTTCGGTTCGCAATAAACAACTGCACCTCCCAGTCGCGAACCATTTCAACTCCCCCTCCCATTCCTCAGACGACATGTCCATCCTAGGCCTCCTGCAGTGCCACAACGATGCCACTCGAAGGTTGCAGGAACAGCAACTCATATTCCGCTTGGGAACCCTGCAGCCCAGTGGTATCAATGTGGACTTCACAAGCTTCAAAATCTCCCCTCCCCCTACCGCATCCCAAAACCAGCCCAGCTCGTCCCCGCCTCCCTAACCTGTTCTTCCTCCCACCTATCCCCTCCTCCCACCTCAAGCCCCACCCCCATCTCCTACCTACTAACCTCATCCCGCCCCCTTGACCTGTCCGTCCTCCCTGGACTGACCTATCTCCTCCCTACCTTCCCACATATACTCACCTTTACTGGCTCCATCCCCGGCTCTTTGACCTGTCTGTCTCCTCTCCACCTATCTTCTCCTCTATCCATCTTCTATCCGCCTCCCCCTCTCTCCCTATTTATTTCAGAACCCCCTTTCCCTCCCCCATTTCTGAAGAAGGGTCTAGGCCCGAAACGTCAGCCTTTCTGCTCCTCTGATGCTGCTTGACCTCCTGTGTTCATCCAGCTCTACACCTTTATAAGAATCAATCGTTTTTACCAGAAAATCTGTTTCCTCTATTATTTTGTCTTCAATGTTTTTTTTCCTGTTCCAAAATCTTGTAATGTGGTGAGGGCAAATCTTCGCATTTGCTTCCATGACTCCCCATGACCAAAAACCAGAACTTAAATTAAATCCATCAGAAGGAAGCAAATACTGTGACTCTTGTAATATTCATTTTAACTGACAACTTTTCTCAAAGAATTGAGGGCATGACTAATGAGGGAAATTGTACACGGTGTACTGAGAAAGGTTTGCATTTGTATAGGGCAGTATTTCTACAGAACATTTCAATAGGCAACCTGTGGTAGTAATCTGCCTCAGAGATAGTAGGAACTGCAAATGCTGGAGAATCTGAGATAACAAGGTGTAGAGCTTGATGACCACAGCAGGCCAAGCAGCATCAGAGGAGCAGGAAGGCTGACGTTTCGGGCGT